GAATCGGAACGACTTCCCCATGGACGCCCCACACTTCCGCGATGGATGTCCACCGCAATCCAACGCCGCCCTTGCCACTGTCAACAAGGTTCTAAAACCTGACAGGGCTGCTCGTTCGTGTCCATCCCACCCCTCTCATTTCCCAGGGGGCCCAGGGGAAAGAGCAGCTTGGCGGCTGGGCCACGACAGAGAAACTTGGTCGTTTCTACTTGGGATGGTAAATAAGCTCCTTCGCAGGCACCCGGAGTGTGGTCCCAAAGATGGTCATTACGCATCACTGACTTCCAGCTGGTGGGACGTTTTGAACATTCGTTGGGTTTTGCTTTTTGCAAGGCGTGTGCTGTATTCCTGAAAAGTTGTGTATACATGAGAGGGTAAGAAAGGCCGATAGAGGCGCTACCAATCTCAGGCCATGTATTACGAATGATTGACTCTAAATTTGGCCTTCAAGGAGCCCTGCTGGCATAAGGGGCGATGCACTGGCTGCTGCTAACCACAAGGTGTGCAGTCCACTCTGAGGGAGAGAGACCTCCCTTGGAGGGTTTCAGTCTCGGATACCCACAGGAGCAGTTCTGCTCTCTCTGTCCTATAGGATTGCTCTGAGTGAGAATACTGGGCCAGAGATAAAGACGGGCTTTCTACTCCCATAAAGAGTTACAGTCTCAGAAAGCCACGGGGGCAGTTCCACCCTGCCCAGGAGGATCGCTCTGAGCTGGCATCCGCTGGATGGCTGTGAGTGGCTTTGGTTTGGTGGCACTATTGGTAAGACTGCTAACCGCCAGGTCTGTGGGAGACAGATGGGGGGGTCTGCTCCCGCAAGGATGGAGAGCCTGGAAACCCTACATGGGTTCACTCTGCGTGGGGATTGACTCGGCAGCAGTGGGGTAAGCTGTCTCTGGATGGAAATGTAGTTTACTTCAAGGGGTACAGCTCTAGACACGGGATGCTTAAGCGACATTGTGACATGCACCGGGGGCTTCAAAATGCTGGTGGAAGATCCCATGATGTTCACTTCATTTTCCCACCAACTTCTTGAAGGCGCCTTGTCGGTGTGGTTAGCTACCCCACGGTGAACATCGATTGTGCCAGGGCATTAATAAGCTGTGAGCAGGTCCCTCCACCTCTCCGTGCAGAGCGTCTCACCCACATTGCCGGAGGGATGGCCGAATTGTCCCTGCTGGAATGAGAAATGTTGAGCTCCAAGCTGGGCACATCCTTGGCACCTGTGTGGAAGGATCCCTCTGAGCCTCAGCGCCTCCTCTGTACAATGGTGCTGTCACCCCCTCGGCAGAGTGGTGTGAGGACCATTGCGACCCTGTGTTGACAAACACTTGCAGGTGCTGCATCCAGGGAGTGAGCCACGGTCCTGCCATGGGTGTGATCTCAGAGCCTGGGTGCTGGGGCAGGTGGCAGGGCAGCACCTTCCACCTACAGTCCTCCGTCCTCACTGCTCCCCTGGGATCAGAGCTGTTAGCAGATGTTGCCATCCTTCACTGCTACCCCCTTCAGCAAAGCAAGGGGTCAGGCACTGGGAAAGCTGACCTGCTTTCATTCTGGTCCCCATTAGCTGTCGTTGGAGGCTCCACTGCCCCCCACCCCGCCCCCACCGCCACCACACACACCATTCTGTAAAACCACTCTGTCGTAGAAAAAAGTTCCCATCCTCTGTCCCCAAGTCAGTCTCCTCTGAACAACACCCAAGATCCAGGTGCCTAGAGGGCAGGGGCGGGGTTGTGGGATCCAGCCTGTGTCTCAGGAACTCTGTTTTCCCCTCCAGAGGGACCAAGGGAGCTGGCAGAAGCCCCTGCCCCATGGAAGGGCCAGCCTTGGAGAGAAGTGGCTCTGAGTGGCAGCTGGAAGATGGCCACCTCCGGAGGCCCTGGCTGAACCCTCAGGAAGACAGAACACCCAGCCTGATGGCCCCCCGGCCCCCCAAGGCATGGCGGGTGCAGCTCCCAGGCCCCTCCGTGCTGGAGTTCAAGGTGAGGGCCTTGAAGGAGGAGAGGACCTCGGGCCAGCAGGGGCTGAGCTCTGGCCCCACCGCTCACAGGAGACTCAAGTGCAGAAGGGTCAAGACAGGTGGCACTGAGGTGCCTGCAGGAGATTCTTCCCTGCCAGATGCCTTGCTGGTGGCCCATGGTCTGAGCCTGACTGACGGACAGCTGGAGGGAAGGGTCAGTGAAGAAGAACCTGCTGAGAAGGAGTGTCTCGGGCCCCCCAGGCCGCCTGCCCTTAGGCTGGAGTGCTGGGGCAGGAGGAGCCCTCGGCCTCCAGAGACAGCATGGGCCCTGTTGGACCCTCAGAGAGCACCACTGCCAGGGCCAGCCTCTTTGCAAGACAGCCCTCTCCTCGGTGCTGCTCCGAGTCGGCCGAACCACAAAGTCACCCACACACACACCCCAAGGAGGGGACGGTCACATCTCGCTCAAGATGGTCAGGCCACAGGGGAAGACCCAGATAGCACCTCCCTGACCTCCGAGGAGGACTTTGTCCCCAGGACAGCCCTGCTGGGGGGCCTCTGGAGAGCTGCAGACCAGGGGGCCCTGGGCCCTGGGGGCAGCGCCTTGTCCCTGTCTGAGCGGGTGGAGAGGAACCGCCTTCTGCTGCAGGAGATGCTGAGTGGTTCAGGGCAGGGACCCCCGAAGGCAGGCATCCAGGCCTGGACTCCATCCTGGGAGCAAGCTGCACCAGGTGAGGCTCGCTCTGAGGACTGGGTGGCAGGCTGGGGGGGCAGGGGGTGGAGGAGGAAGGAAAGGGACTGGAGGGAGGCAGGGCTGGGGAAGGAAGGAGAACACAGTTGCCTACCACCAAAATCATCAGGTTGTCTTCTCACTCTGGGCACGAGTGCCCACACCAGGGGAGCCACACTCTGACCCAGCTGGGGGCATCAGGGCATCTTTGCCATGACCTGTAGCTTTCTCTTCAATGGCATGCCCTCACCCCCAGGGACCTCATGCTCCTCCTAGGCTGAGGTGAGTGGCCCCTCCCCACAGAGAGCTCAGACCCAGGAAGACAGACTCCTGCTTCCCACCCCATCCCTCCCCACCCCACTCTACCCCACCCACTCCCAGCTCGAGACCCCTGGGCAGTCCTCAGCCACAGCATGTCCTCCAGAGGTCACGGCGCCGGTCTCTGCTCTGCCTCACTGGTCAGGACCCAGGCTGGGGGCGGATTTCTGCATGGGGAAAATTCAACTCGCCGCCATCGAGTTGATGCCAACTCATAGTGACCCAGTAGGACGGCCCCTGTGGGCTCCCGAGATTACAACTCTTTCCTGGAGAAGAAAGCCTCATCTTTCTCCTGAGGAGTTGTTGTTGGGTGCCATCGGGTCGGCTCCGACCCATAGCAGCCCTGTGCACAACAGAACAAAACCTTGTCCCATTCTGATGGATGCAGCCCCTGGGTCAATCCACCTAGTCAAGGGCCTTCCTCTTTCACCTCCCCTCCACTTGACCAAACATGAGGTCCTCCTCCAGGGACTGGTCTCTCCTGACAAGATGTCCACAGTCTGTAAGACAAAGTCTTACCATTTTTGCCTCTGAGGAGCACTCTAGCCTTAGTTCTTCCAATACAGATCCATTTGTCCAATACAGATCTGTTGCCCAATACACTGTACTTCCAATATTCTTCTCCAGCACCACAGTTCAAGTGCATCTATTCTTCTAAGGGCTTCCTTATTCAATGTCAAGCTCTCACATGCTTATGATGCAATGGAGAATACCAGGGCATGGGACAGGTGCACCTTAGCCTCAAAGTAACAATTGCTTCTGGAGAAAACTTCTTCCTCCATAATCCCTAAGTGGAGCCTCTGGCTCTGCCTTGACCTCCACTTCTGTCCTGGCCTTAGAGCGACCAGCCGGGGACTTGGACTGGGACTCCGGCATCTCCCTGCAGGATTCAGATCAGAAGAGGTAAGAGCGAAGCACACACCTTTTCCCTCCGCCCTCCTCCTTGACCTCTCTGCTGCCACAGTGCCCAACAGGTATGGGGCTGCAGACCAGCGGGCAGGGGGTCACTGTGGGTGGTCCTCCTGAGACTGCAGAAAAGGCTCCAATGACCCCAGTATCCCAGGCTGTTTCCTTGGGCAAAACACCAGGGTAGGAGGCGTAGTGCGAGGTGTGGTGCCCCCGAGTGTGGGGAAACACCACCTGCTGGGTGTCCTCAGGGATCCCTTCCCTGTTGGGCCTCTGGGCATGCACCAATAAAGTGCGGACCGTCTCTGCCTTACCTCACCAGCCGCTTGTGAGGTTTGTGGTGAGATCGTGAATGTGCCAGTCCTGAGGGAGTGCATGCAACAGTAAAGCTTTGCTCCAGTTTCCTTACCAGTCAAGGAGTCGGGGTCCAGGCGGTGCAGTGGCCACGCACTGGGCTGCTAACCAAAAAAAAGACCAGCAGTTCGAAACCAGCAGCTGCTCCGTGGGAGAAAGATGGGGCTTTCTACTCCTGCAAAGAGCGACAGTCTCAGAAACCCACAGGGGCAGTTCTATCCTGTCTTCTAGGGTCGCTGTGAGTCAGCAAGGACTCAGAGGCAGGAGATTGGAGGGAAGGAGCCCTGGCAGGGCAATGGGTGGTGCAGCTGTTATCCAAAAGGTTGGTGGTTCGAACCCACCTCTGGAGAACATTCTGTTTCCTTCAAGACTGCAGCCTTGGGAGCCCTCCAGAGCACTTCTGCTCCGTCCTATAGGGTCACCATGTGTTGGAATTGACTGAACTGCAACGGCCTTGGATTGGCCCCCACTGAGGCGGTGGTCCTCACCTTCCATCCCCCCCACACTACAGCCAGCTGAGAGAGGAGAAGGGGGTGCGTGGGGGTGACTTCCTGAAACCCACCCCGCCCAGGTTGCTGCCTCCACATATTGATGCTGCAGGACTGAGTAGAACTGCCCCAAATCGCTGCCATGGCTGTCAGTCTGTCCAGGATCAGACCATCCCCTCTTTGTCCTGCCAGGGTTTGCTACGTTATTATTTGCCCGTCCTGCCCTGGGTGGAATCGTGCCCTTTTGTAAATCCAGATGCAGAGACCCTGTCCCTAGGTCCCTTGTGTGCATAGCTCTTCAGGGTGGGGTGGGAACAGGGAGTTGGTGGCAAGCCCTGGCTTTCAGGCTCCCCGCAGTGGTTCCCAGGAGTCCCTGGGTGTTGTAAATGGCTAAGATGCTGGACTGCTAACCAAAAGGTTGTCAGTTCGAGTCCACGCACCTGGTGGAGAAGGAAGAACGTGGACCTATGACAAAGCAAGTCCTGGCGGGTCATTCAGGCCCTCTGAGCAGTCCCCCCAGCTCCCCACCCCCACCCCAAGTGTTTCACATGCCCTCTTTGCATATCCCACCGGGTCATTTGGTGGGTGTGACAGAGACAGCGGCACAAGGGCTGGATTAGGACGTTTCTCCACAACCAGGGGCTCTCTCTAGCTATAGGGTGATGTGTCACTCCCAAACACCCCCTGTGGAACAGGTCCAGCTTCCCTGTGTTGTGAGTCCCTGCTGGTGCCAAGGCTTCATGTACTCAGCTGCTTACTGGAAAGGTAGGCCTTCAAGTCCCCCCAGATGTGCCTCAGAAGAAACATTGTCAGTCTACTTTTGTTAACAAGCCTGCTGAGCACATTTTTGCTCTGACACACATAGGTTGCCATGGGTCCCCATCAACGAGATGGCATTTGGTTTGGTTTTTCCCTTACAGGCCAGGTGGTGGAGTGGTTATGCAAAGTCAGCAGTTTGAAACCATCAGCTGTTCCTCTGGAGAAAAATGAGACTTTCTCTCCTCGTAATGAGCTACAGTCTCAGAAACCCATGGAGGCATTTGTAGCCTGTTCTATAGGGTCGCTATGAGTCTAGGTAACCAACCAGAGGGGTGAGTCTATGTTGAGCCCCTGCCCTCACAGCGCACAGGCTGTGGAACCAACAAGGGCACGCCTTCTTCCCTGGAGACGGGAAACTGCACATAGTATCAGAGAGGTCCTGTGCTTGGTCATCAGAGTGCCGTAATGGGACAAGTGCTCAGCCAGGATGTCTCAAGGTGATTGTAGCTCAGACTAATCTGTGTGACAGAGTGTAACTGGACCATTGGGTTTTCTAGGCTAAGTTATGGAGCCCTTGTGGTGCCGTGGATATGAGTTGAGCTACTAACCACAAGATCAGCCGTTCAAAACCACCAGCTGCTCCTTGGGAGAAAGACAGGACTTTCTATTCCCGTAAAGAGTTACCATCTCCAAAACTCACAAGGGAAGCTTTAGCCTGTCCTAAAGGGTCGCTAGAGTCAACATCAACTCATTGGCAGGGAGTTTGGGTTTTTTGTTTTGTTTTTTAATTAGGGGACAAAGCAACATAGTCTGCTTCCTTTGGAACTGCTGGGTGAGCTTGAACTGCTGACCTTTGGTTAGCAGGCTGTGTGGCCCCAGGGGCTCATTTTCAGTGTGCAGTGTATGCCCCCTACCTGCCTGCTGCATCCAGGAACCCAGAAGGTGTCCCGTCACTTTACATTCCACAAAGCTTCCCTCGCTGGACCACCTGAGATGAAAGGGTGAAGCCCAGGCTTGTGGGCCTAACACTTTTCTAATCCAGGATTATGATGGCTGCCGAGGCGGCCACTCTGTCTCCTTGACCTGCCTGGCTAAGAGAGACATGCCTCTTCCGAGGAAGATCCTGACCTTCCTGGAGGTAGGAGCTTAGCCCATCCGGTCATCCCGCCTCCAACCTGGCTCTGCTGGCGAGATGAGAGGGCTATGCTCAGCTTTGGATGCCCCTGGCCAGAGCGTGGAGAGAAGGGCTGGGGTACCACTACGTGGAACTGTTGTGACCCCCTAAACTTGCTTAGGACAGCATGTGGGTCCCTCCCCTCCACAGCTCTCACAGTTTACAGGCAGGGAAACCCTGAAAGGAAGGCCACTCAGCTGCTTTGTCCCTGACCCTGGCGAGCCCCTGATGGGCAGGCATTTATGAGAGCTGTCTGCATGTAGGTAGGAAATTGCTTTTGCCTTGGCTTGGTCATCACCGCAGGCTGTCCATACACTTCCTGGGGGACACGTAGAGCTGGGCTGGGGCAGGCTGACTCCACAGCTATGTGCCTTTGGGAGAGGTCAGGCTCAGAGGGGGTCTGGAAAGCCTCCCTCAGGTGGAAGAGTGGGAACCCACCGGCCTGCAGAGCTGGGTACCCTTGGGTGGCTGCTGGGAGCAGCAAGCGGTAGTGGTGTGAGGAGGGAGGTGGGCAGTTAGACTAGGGCAGGCAGCATCCTGAACCACCACCTGCTTGCTCCCCACCCTGCTCCAGGCTGCCTGGGAATAGCAGTCCCCTGCTCCGCTGACCTTGGCTCCCATAGGTGACAGTGGGAGCTCCTCCCACTCAGTGTGTTGCTGTGCGGATGGCCCCAAGCCCTACCGGCCCTGGTTCTCTAATCTGCCGGGAGCCAGAGCAGCACAGCTGATGGGGAAAATAACAGCTCTGAGTGCATGGAGCAGATCAGGCAGCAGCTAGGTTGGAAACTGGCTTAAAAACCAGGGGGCAGGGCCAATCCTGGCAGCATCTGGCCAGCTGCCTGGGACCCTCCCGCCTGCCCACCGGGGCTTGTGACAAATGCCCTCTGACAGCCAGGGAGCCACAGCTGTCACCAGAAGGCCCGGTGGGAGCAGGCTGCCAGCCAGAGGCCTGCGGCTGCCAGGCGGGGCCTGGTAACCTCATTATCTCTGCTGTGGAGCTGGAGCCCCGGGGTGCGCAGCTGCTCTCTGTGGGCGGTGGAGAGCTGTGGAGGGACGCCTCTGCTGCCAAAGGGGGCTCCCCGGGCTGGGCCGCAGGCCTGCGACTCGGGCTCGGGTTCACTTCCCAGCAGCCCGCAGCACAGCCCTCCTTGTTCCGAAGCCGTGCCCCGTCCCACCAGGGCTCAAGGCACAGATGGTGCCTTTATTCTGACTCCTCTCCTGCCCTCTGACCCCCAAACAGGGCTGGGTGCAAGTAATGAACTTGCGCCCTGCAAGTCCCTGCACACTGGTTGCTGGCCGAGGGTGCCCCCAGGAGGCCTCGGAGCTGTGCCATTTTCCCGCCCAGGGCAGGGTCCTCCAGGAACCAGCCTGGTTCCTTTGCGTGGGGGCTGGGTGACCGCGGGTCTGAGGTGGAGACCCAGGTCAGCCAAGACCAAATCTGCCTGAGATCCCTGCTCAGGCCCGGACAGCAGGCCTTCTGACCCGGCTGGGGGCAGTCCAGTCACATCAAAGGGCGGGTCGGAGCCCAGCCACAAACAGCCCCGGCCTGCCCTGGGACCCAGGAAGGGGGGCGTGGGCCTGACTGCCATCTGCTCCCAGCCCTCTGCTTGATGTTCAACCTTGAGAGGCGAGTGTTTCCGGCCTCCCAGGGCTTCAGGAGCCTGTCGCCTGTCAAGTGCAGCAAGCGCCTGCCGGCAGCTCTGCCGGGAGCGGGAGCGGCTCTCGGAGGAGAGAAACGCTTGTCAGGGGGCGGCTGTGCGCTGCCACGACTGCTGTGACCTGTCGGCGGTGTGTTTCCGTCTGAGAGACAGCTTGGGGAAAGGGCTGCTGTCACTCTTAGCAGCTCGAGATCAGCCGGGGGTGGCGGCACATCTGGTGAGGGACAAGTGGGGAGGGCTGGTGAAGACCCTTACGATGATGAAAATCCAGCTATGTGCTGAGTTGGTGTGGGCCCAGCGGTTTCTCTCAGCCCTGAACCTCCCAGTCCCAGCCCGGCAGCCTGGGATGGGGACTGGGACCGAAACCACTAGGGGGTTAGGCCCACGTGGCAAAGGGCCAGATGCAAGACAGCCTTGGTTCCAGAGAAAGAGCGAGTGAGCCAGCAGGAGAGAGGCATTGCGTGTAAAGGCCATCTGCCCGGGCACAGGCCCAGCTCAGCTATCCCAGTCAGTCCCTCTCCTCCACCTCCCAGGGAACTCCAGCTGTCTGCCTGGGGCAGGAACAATAGAATAATCTGGACACTGCCCTACCCTTGTCTAGATGCTCCTAGGGCTTCTGCCTCCTGCCCCAGTGCAGGTGTCCAGAGCCCTGGGTGAGGCTGGAGCAGGCTGTGGTAAAGCCCTTCTAATCCATGTTGTTTTCTCCTAATCCCTCCCGCCCGCTCTGGCTTTCATGCCACCCTGCTGAACCTTCAGTGCCAAGCTGGAACCCACACTGAGCCCCAGCCACGAGAACGCCACACACCTGCTGCAGCATGCTCGCATGAAGGCCAGGACCCAGCCCCTCCGGGCCAGCCACGACATCATGCCTGTCATGGCCCTGGGCAGCCGGTGAGTGGGGCCAGGCGGGCCTGGGAGGACTGGCTGGGCAGGGTCTTGGGGAGAAGGCATGGGCCAGCCTGCTGCTGTGCACGTCTCCCTTCTCCCCAGTGTCAGGCCCTGCTTAAATCCAGGTAGCCAGTCAGCACCCTGTACTGGTGCCCACTGAGCACCAGGCATGGAGCTAGACTCTGAGCACAATGATGAATAGAAGGCCATCCTAGCTCCCTGCGGGGAGAAGGGCTCAGGCTCCAGGAAGCAAGAGAGGCCGACAGGTCAAGAAAACTTTGCCAGTTACTAGCTTCATGCCTTTGGGGAAGTTTCCATGTCTCCGTTTCCTCATTGGCAACATGGGAATGGTAGCCACGCCTGCCTGTCTTTAAGGGGTATTGTGAGGGTTACGTCAGCTAATCCACACAGTGTTCGAAAGGGCCTCTGGCGCGTTACTGTGGGTGGTGGGCACTGTCAAGTTGATGTAAACATGAGAATCTCTCTCTCTTTTTTTGTCATTTTATTGGAGGCTCGTACAACTTTTATCACAGTCTATCCATCCATGTGTCAAGCACATTACATTTGTTGCCATCATTTTCAAAACATTTTCTTTCCTCTTGAGCCCTTGGTATCAGCTTCTCATTTCCTCCCTCCTTCCCCCACTCTCCCTTCCTCTGGAGCCCTTGATAATTTATAAATTATTATTTTTCATGTCTTACACTGACTGATGTCTCCCTTCACCCACTTTTCTATTGTCCATCCCCCTGGGAGGGGGTTATAGATAGATCATTGTGATTGGTTCCCCCTTTCTGCCCCCACCTTCCCCTTGCCCTCCTGGTATGGCTACTCCCAATTTTTGGTCCTGAGGGGTTTATCTGTCCTGGATTCCATGTGTGTGTGTTAGTCTGGGTACTTTAGAGAAACAAATCCACAGAAACTTATGTGTAAGAGAGAGTTTTATATAAGGGTAAGTGCACATCAAGAAAACATCCCAACCCAGTGCTGCCCAAGCTCACAAGTGCAACATTAGCCCATTAACCCTTAGGTCCAACACCAATCCACAAAGTCCTCCTTCAGCTCACAAAACACACACTGTGATGCCGACTGCAGGAGGAAAGCCGAGTCAGTGAATGTGTAAGCATCTCAGTGCTGGCAGGGGTCTCCATACGGCTGCTCCAGCACCCAGGGCTGCATCGGGGTAGGTCCATCTCCTTGGGGATGTCTTGCAGGAAGTGAGCCTTGCAAGCTGAAGCAGGGAACTGCTAACGCAGCTGCACCCTGGTGCAACCATCACAAAGCAAGAGACCTGAGAACTGGAAAGGCGAGGCTCACGGAGCCATTTATCCCTCTGCCCTTCAATTAACCCCACATGTGTTTATTGGCTAGGTTGGCACAATAAACTAACTACCTCAGTGTGTTTCCAGCTCTTATCTGTACCCGTATACATGCTCTGGTCTAGTCAGATTTATAAGGTAGAATTGGGGTGATGATAGTGGCGGAGAGAAAGCATTAAAGAACTAGAGGAAAATTGTATGTTTCATCGGTGCTATACAGCACATAGACTGGCTCCTCTCCGCCCCCTCGACCCTTCTGTAAGGGGGATGTCCAATTGCCTACAGATGGACTTTGGGTCTCCACTCCGCCCTCCCCCTCATTGACAATGATATGATTTTTTTTTGTTCTGGGTCTTTGATGCCTGATACCTGATCCTATCGACACCTGATGGTCACACAGGCTGGTGTACTTTTTCCATGTGGGCTTTGTTGCTTCTGAACTAGATGGCCGCTTGTTTATCTTCAAGCCTTTAAGACCCCAGATGCTATATATTTTCATAGCCAGGCTCCACCAGATTTCTTCACCACATTTGCTATGTGCCCATTTTGTTTTCAGCAATCGTATCAGGAAGGTGAGCATCACAGAATTCTGGCTGGAATCTTTATAGAAGGGGAGCACCTGGCCTTTCTCCCACTGCGCAGCAGTGCCCATTGTTGCCACCAGGGCAGTTAGTTACCTGGTGTGTAGTTAGTGCTATAGGAGTGTCCACTTGTCCCAGTCATCCGCTGATGCACTGGCAGTGGGAGGCGTGCCCGGGCATCTGACCCAGAATTGAAATGTTCCCCACCGAGCATCCACCCTTGGGCGATGCTCACAAGCAGTTGGCTAAGTGAAGTTTTCCCATTATTCCTTATGAGAAATATATGTTCAGTTCTCGAACTTCTTGGAGTTGGAACATGAATTTGGAACAAACTGAGTTTGACAACCGAAGAATCGCTGTATTGTGCCTTGCCTCTCACCTTGCTAGCGGACACTGAATTGGGAATGGATGTGACTTCTTAGACGCTTCCTAACTGTCCTTGCCCTTGGACATCCAGGGAACTTTCCGGTTCTGTTTTGTTCGGTTGCATTGGTTGGGCTGGGTAGCCTCCGGGCAAGACTGTCTGCTTCGAGACTTTAGTGTAAATGTCCCCTTGGACACTTTCTCCTCTGGTAGATCACTTCAGCAGCTGACAGCGACCCCAAACCCTACTCAGAGGGTCCCCTTTTGTCAGCCTGGCTTCTGTAGAAATGCAAGGTGACCCACTTTAGCAGCTGCTGTGTCCAGAAAAGAATGACTGACTTGGCAGCGCTGGTGGATCCCCAGAGGGTCCAGCTGAAAAATCCACACCAGATGGTTTAGTGCAGATGCTTCTGAAGGTTACGCTTCATCAGATCACCCCTGGAGAGCCATCCTGTGTGAGCTCCGGATGCCACACAGGCTGGGGGCCTGCCCCAGCCCAGATGGGCCCCTTCTACTGCAGGGTAGCTCAGTGCCAGGAGGGGTAGGCAGACCCCTTTTTAACCTGAAGGCTTTTTTAACCTACCTTTGGCTGGAGAGGGTGGGAGCAAACCTGAGCAGACAGGGCTTTCCCACCAGGTGAGTGGGTAGCTTAGCAGTAGCTGCATTCTCTGGAAGCAAATCCAAGTAGAAACTCAGCAGCACCAGGAAACACAAGCTCTGGCCATTAGGCCCCACCTAGGCTGGCGCTCCTGGTTCCAAGAGGGCAAAACATAGCAACAGATGCAGGGGTGACATGTGGAAGGATGCCACCGAAGTGCTCCTGCCCTGTGGAACCTAACCGGTAGAGTAAACCCCGCAGAGCACACAGCCTGTGCTGGGATGGGGTGGTGAGGACTGTGTCCTTGCAGAACGTGGGGCTCCCCTCAGAGGGCATACAGTTCCAGGGCTGCAGCAGAGCTTCTGAGCGCAGACCAAAACCCTTTCCAAGAGGGATGATTGTGGAGGCGCCGCCGTGGCCTCATCTCGAGAAGCTTGGCAGGCAAGGGCTCCGCTCGCTGCTGAAGTGCCTGTTCCCTCCGCACCTGTCTCCAAAGCCCTCCCCGTACCTCTGGGCACCGTTCCCAACTCTGCTGGTGGGCACCTCTGGGTCTGAGGGTTTAGACTGAAGATGCCTTCTGTGATTCACCTCACCTTCATTTCACCTTTTGGAACAAAACTTGTGTTTCCACCTTTCAAGTAGATTTTAGGGATGTGCAGTTCACCCTGGTGTACGTCAAGGTTCTGATGACTGAACTGGTTAATGAAATCTGGACCCCCTAATGTTTCTTCCCCTCTCAGATGTGCAGCCCACACCCTGTGAGCACAGCAGCTCTCACCCCTGGGGCCTGCATCGGAGGGAGGGGCAGCTGTGTCTCAGCTGCTATCTGGACACTCCAAGTGGCAGGTCCTGTGTGTGCTGGCCTCTCTGGCCAGCGTGTCTGGGCTGGGAGGTGAGGGCCGCGCTTCTGCTCACTGAGGTCTTCCTGTGTCTGTGCGGTGAAGTGGACGCACCTTCCCTCTGGGAGGGTTCAGAGTGCTTCTAGAAACCAAGGGCCCCACAAAACCATCCTCTGACCCTGGAAGGCTGGTGCAGGACAAGTGCTGGTGGGGGTCCATGACCCTCTGATGGGCTCTTGGTGCAGCACAGGAGAACCCAGCCAACAGGAATCTGTCACCCCACAGGCCCAGAACTCCTGCCATGACCACATGGGTGCCAGCAGTGCCACGCTGCACGGTCTCTGCCACCGGGGGACCGTGCTGTCATTCACAGCTCTCAGCTACGACCCCCCCTTGGGATGCAGGGTCACCCTGTGTTGTCTGAGAGCCCTGCATTTCATCTGAGTCAGGTCCCTAGCCCTCCTGGGCCCCTTCCTCCCTAACAGGTTCAAGAGTCTGTTTCAGTGACTAGGTAGATTTTCAAATGAAGATGCTACTATTATATATGTAAATTTTTCCTGTGAAAAAGTCATTTTCTTTTGATTAAAAACTGTGTGTACATATGTAACCTTTCCCCCGGTCCCTAAGCAGTACGCCTCGTTGACTACTGGAGCCTTGGGTCTGGTCTGGTTGTGAGCTGCAGCTCACAGGAAGGCTGGCCACAAGCTCTCAGCAGTCTGTTGTCATGTGCTTACGTCCCACAGCAGGCAGATCCACTTGCTGAAGAGCACCAAACCCAAACTCACTGCCATCAGTCATAGAGACCCTGCAGGGCAGGAGAGAACGAGCCGAGCCGCTCCTTTGCGGTTGGAGTTTATCCATCTTTATAGGAACAGAGAGCCTCATCCTCCTGCACAGCAGTTGGTGGGCTTGAACTACCAACCCTGTGGTTAGCAAACCAATTACCCTATAGCACCCCTTTCAATAGTCATCCCTTCCTAAGCATCGTTTACTGTGGGAAAGCCCGGTCAGGAGTGGCAGGCATGTGAGGCCACGTTGCCCACTGCATGTCGGGCCAGTGTGAGCACCTCTTAAACACCTAGAGTCTCAGCTCTGCAGATGCCCCCAAGGGCTTGGGCTGAGCCCCCCGTTTCTAAGATTTTCATTTGGGTGGTGGTGTTTTTAAGAAGACCATCCAAAAAAAAGAATAAGACCATCAAAAACGTGCCCCAAGGCAACCGATTCCCCCCATACAGTGCCACCTCACCCGCCTTTTCTGAGCTTTTCCTCCCTTGCTAACACAGACGCATTCTGCCTGACGTTCCTGGCTGATCTTCCTAACTGCCATCGTCCCTTTTGTCCCATCTAGATAGTTGGTGGAGGACGCCCTCACACACGGCGGGGGGACAGGCTACGGCGGGGCGTGTGGGTGCCCAGGAAGGGAGTGTGGGTTTGCTTAGTGCCGACTGCGCGGGCTTGTGAGCGGGAACCCCGGCCGGCCGGACCCAGGGAGGCTGCACCCCGGGAGATGGTGTGGCAGGCCTGTGCTCCCTGAGGAGGCTCCCCCTTGCAGCTGGTGATCTCTCCTGTCTCTTCCTCAGAGACTGCCAGAGGAGCCCCGCCCGGGACCCAAGGATGGCCCCCACGAACGGGAACCTGAGCGACTCCTCCAGCGGGGACTCCAGCAGCGGGCTGTGGCCCAAACGGGGCCCCTCCCCGACGTCCCATGTGCGCTTTGAGGACGAGTCCGCCCACGACGTCCGGTTCCGCTACCAGGAGCGGCTGCAGCAGCGCCAGCGCCAGGGGCTGAGCTCCGGGCTGCGGACGGCGGCCCAGGGCCCGCTGCGCTCCAAGCCGGACCTCGCCGACTACGTGCGCAGGGACTCAGGGGAACGGTCCCTCCACCGGCTGGGGGGTGGGCTGCACCCCGCGGGCTTCCCGCCGCCGCCCCCACGGGACTGCGAGAGGAAGTGTCAGGCCTGCGGCAGTTGCATCCAGCGGCCACCCCCAGACTCGAGGGTCCTTCAGGAACTGGACGCGGCCTGCGGGGTGGGCAGGGTGCTGGCCGAGAGCCTTGCATCTGGGGTCCGGAGCGCCCCCGTCAGGCTCCGCTCAGAGTGGATCCGAGAGACGCACATCGGGGCCGCCCCGCGCCCAGGGGAGGTGGACTCTGCCCCGGACAGCACCGACACGTCGGACAGCTGCAGGACCGACAGCGAAGATGCCGCGGCCTCTCAGCCCAGCAGAACTCGGGGCAGAACCCGGGCCGCCAGACCTCGAGGGGGCCACAGGTGGTCCGGGAAGGTGGAGCTGTCCCGGGGCCCTCAGGCCCAGCCTCAGCTGCTTATGGACCAGTTGGAAGCTGGGCATGAGAGGACAGAAGGCAGAGGACAGTGGCCAATGGAGACTGGGCTTCCCGGAGAAGATGCCGCCCCTACGCCTCCTTCCCCAAACTCAAAGAGGGCTCCCCTGGGCTCCCCAGGGCGGCCAGGGCCCGGGCTGGACAGTGCTTGTGCTTACCTGGTAGCTTCCTACGCTCCATGCAGGACAGCCGCTGCCAACCCCTCGTTGAGGAAGAGCCCGCGGTCCCGGCCAGACAGACAGACCCGGCTTATGGAAAGCCACGAGCCTGCGGCAGCTGACTCCACATCCTTGCTGCAGCAGAGCCAGGTGGAGCTTGCTGCCCCCCACCCCATCCAGCAGCCAGCCGCCTCCTTCTCCTGCGAGGGCCCGGTGCCAACCCCTCCCTCTTCAAGGCAAACAGCCTCCTCCCCTGTGCCCTCCCCTGTGCCTCACGGGAAGGCAGCCCTGGCCAGGCCCCCAAGGCCGAGTGGCCAAAGGGGACCTGCGGACTCTCCCCTGCCTCCTCCAAGAAGTGGGGTACTCACTACCTGTGAGACCCCGCCCTGCAGTCTTCAAGCCAGGCACCCACAGCTGGCGCTGCCCACCAACTGCAACAACAGTGACCCCTGGGTACCGCAGGAGTCCTGGGGAGAAACCACCCCTGAGAGCAGGGTGGAGAGCGGCCCCTGCAGCCCGGAGCCAGAGTTGCCCCAGGAGAACAGCCGGGAAGGTAAGGGACTGGCCGGTGGGGATTCTCCCCCAGCTGGCCCAGCTGGGATTCTGTTTTCACTTCCTCTCCTTTATCATTTATCGTTGATGCAGATACACATTGCAAACCTCACTTCATGTCAGTTTCTAGATATGATCAGTGACATCATTAGTCAAATAGCACAGGCCACACCTACTCCCACTGCCCCTCGGGCACCTTTGAGCAGCAAAAGGTTCCTGGGGAAGCTGCTGGAGCCCTTGGCTGTATGCAGGATTCCTTTCAATACCAACATGAGCCAGGGGCCGGGTTAGGCAGTGCCCCCCACGCACCACCTCAGGGGTGGCAGTGAAGAAGCCCACTCGCTTGCTGGAAAACGTGGGTGGACAAGCAGTTCTGGCCTGGGCAATGGGAAAGCTCAGATGTATGTCCAGGCTCTTTCCTTCCAACATCTTCCTGTCACTCCTTTCTTCGGCACTGCTTGAGCACCTCCCACTGCCAGCCCGGGGTTCCAGACACTGTGGGGAAGGCAGCTGGAGATTTCACTAGCAGGTGCCCTCTGTTAGTCTGGGTTGACTAGAGAAGCAAGTTCATAGACACTCATGTGTGTATAAGAAAGCACTTTATATAAAGAATAAATGAATATTGAGAAAACATTCCAGACCAGTCCAGATCAAGTCCATAAGTCCCGTATTAGCCCATATGTCCAATACCAATCTTTAAAGTTCTCATCAGACTCACGCAACACATGCAATGATGCTGAATGTAGGAAGATCACAGGCCAGTGGGTGTGAAGTCTTGTGGATCCAATGGCGTTGTAAGCATCTCAGCACGGGCAGGGGTCTCCACGTTCTCCTTCAGCTTAGGGCACTAGCATAGCTCCCTGAGTCTTGTCAGCTACAATGTCTCCCAGGGAGTGAGTCAGCGTCCTGCTTCCAGTGAGCTATTTATCTCCTTATTTAGCTTATCTTAATTCTTTATCTAAACTATTCTATTGATACAAAAATATGGGATTAGGCCTCTGACAGCATCAAGTCAGGGCCAGGCTTTCTGTCAGCCATTTTCCCTAAGCAGCTTGGTGATTCAAGGGGCAATTTCTACCGCTGAGCTCAAAATACACATTAACAACATTCATTTTCATCATCTCAAACAAAAATAGACAAAGACAACAACCAAACAAAAGAATCAAAACTTTAACTTCCCATGTTCTTTCCAGAAAGCCACCCAGTAAACTGCATGGACATATCTGACCTCTGGCTAGCCAAAGAAGAAACACTACCATGAGGTGGAGGTCAAATAAACATCCACTCTCCATCTTTATGATGTGTTTCTCTAGTACCCCACTCCTGGTACTATAATGTTAGTCTGGGTAGACTAAGAGAAACAAATCCATAGACACTCATGTTTATAAGAAAGAAGTGTATATACAAGAGCAATTGAATATTGAGAAAATGTCCCAGCCCAGTCCATAAGTCCGGTATTAACCCATATGTCCGATACCAATCTATAAAGTCTTCTTCAGACTCATGAAACACATGCAATGATGCTAGTGAAGGAAGATCACAGGCTGGTGGGTAGAAAGTCTTGTGGATCCAGTGGCAGTACAAGCATCTCAGCGCTGGCAGGGGTCTCTATGTGCCTCCTCCAACTGAGGGCACTAGTGTAGCTCCATGTATCTTGTCAGCCGCAATGTTTCCCAGGGAGTGAGCGTGTGTCCCACCTCCAACAAGCTATTTATCTCCTTAGCGCCTCCAAATGAGGTCATCAAGCTGTGACCTGATTGACAGGCTAAACTCCACCCCTTCACTCTTGTCTCAAATTGACAACAGATTATGTAACTCTCACATGTCCGCCTTGCCCTTGAGCCCTTCTCTGTCCAGGCAACATGCTGTCTAGGGAGCATGGTGCTATAAGATGCTCTGGCTTTGCCCTCTGTCACCAGAGTCCTCCCCCAGCTTGAACAGGTGGGGAGGTATCCGCAGGCAAGGCTGCGGAAAGGCATAGCATAGCATCTCTTTGTCCTTGGAAGGAGTTCTCTCACTGCCGACTCCTAGTGACCTTCTAGGACAGGGGGGTTGCTGAGACTGTAACTATTTACCCAGGTAGAAAGTCCCATCTTTCTCACATGGAGCAGCTGGTGGTTTTGAACTGTGGGTTTTTCGGCTTGCAGCCCAACTTGTAACCACTACACCACCAGGGCCCCTGGAAAGAGTTCTCTGGTTGTGGGGAATCCTTGGCATCCACAGCCTCAGGATCTTCAATGCTGTGAGCTGAGGTGACCAACTGGACCCGCAGGGTTAGGTGGAGGTAGATGACAGGCCTTCCCCTATGCCCTTACTTTAATGTGTCCCCAGCTCAGGCAGCCCTGGGCTGGCTTGAGGGGTATGGAAGGCTTGGGAATGGGTCAGGGGTGGGGTTGGGGGGCAGAGAGATCCCAACTGCAGACCCCATGGGCGATGTGAATCCACTGCTGTGCTGGCCACCTCTCCCCCACAGGGCCCACTTTCCCTTCTCCCCTACTTTTGCTTACATACCCCCAAAACTCCTCAGCCTGAGGTCCCTCCCGCCCGTGTAAAGTTGTAGCTTCCATCCGGGTCGTGCTCTTGGTTGGCTGCTGGCTGGCCCCTAACCACTTCCTGCAGCGCTTCTGCTCTGGGATCTGATGGGCTTTCTGGGAAGAGCTTCCTCTTGCCCAGGCCTGCGGTGTGCACCGAAGATGCTGGCTGTGAAGGAAGGTGAAGCTCATTCCCCAGGCCTGGGTGAGGCTCCTCCTCTCAGGAGCCAGGGGACCTGATCAGGCCATCTTTTAGGAATACCTGGAATGACGGCAGTGCCAACCGCACATAAGATTGGTGGTGGTGGTAGTGCCACTCTCCAGGCAGTTCTGACTCATAGCCACCGCACGTACAACAGAATGAAACACCACCCAGTCCTGTGCCATCCTTGCAACTGCTGCAGTGTTTGAGCCGGTTGTCACAGCCACTGTGCCGGCGCATCTTGTCAAGGACCTTCCTCTGTTTTGCTGCCCCTCTGCTTTTCCAAGCAGGATGTCCTTTTCCAGGGGCTGGTGCCTCCTGCCAACCTGTCCAAAGTCCATGAGACAAATCTTGCCATCCTCACCTCGAAGGAGTACTCTGGCTGGACTTCCAACACAGGTGTGTTTGTTCCTTGGCAGTGCATAGTACTCACCATGGTCTTCGCTGGCACCATAACTCAAAGGCATTGATGCTTCCGTGGTCTTCCTTGTTCAGTGTCCAACTTTCACATGTATATGAGGCTATTGAGAAAACCATGGCTTCTGTCAAGGGACCTCAGTACTCAAAGAAAATCTTTGCTTTCCCACACTTCCGAGGTCTTGTGCAGCAGATCCACCCAATGCAGGGCGTGGTTTCGTCTCTTGACCGCGGCTTCCATGAGCAGGGATGGTAGATCCAAGCAAGACAAAATCCTGGACAACTGCAGTCTCTTCTCCATGTGTCGTGATGTTACCCATTGGTCCAACTGTGAGGACTGGGGTTTTCTCTATACTGTGCTGTAGTCCACACTGAGGGCTGCACTCCTTGATCTGCATCAGCAAGGGCTTCAAGTCCTCCTCACTTTCAGCAAGCAAGGTTGTGTCATCTGCGTATCACAGGTTAATAAGTTTTCCTCCAATCCTGAAGCCAAGTTCTTCATATACTCCACTCTCTCTGATGATTTTCTCAACATATAGATTGAATAAATATGGCGAGAGGCTACAACCCTGACACACACCTTTCCTGATGTCAAGCCATGGAGTAGCCCCTTTTTCTGTTGACACACTGCCTCTTGATCCATGTACAGGTTCCACACGAGCGCAAGAAATGTTCTGAATTTCCCATTCTTTTCAAAGCTGTCCGTAGTTTGTTATGGTCCACACAGTCAAATGCCTTGGCATGGTCAATAAAACACAAGTAAGCATCTTTCAGTGCATAGTAGATGCCACAACACAGCGCCTATTGTTAAATCAGTTAGAAATTCCCACCCACAAGATGCTGTTTTTGTCTTGGGGATGCACCCTTTCTGCTTAATGAGCGAGCCTTACAGAGGTACTTCTACCTGTCAGATGGGATCCCCCTGAGTCCAAATTCCCAACAACAAGAATATATCTGTTGATAGAAGGTAAGGGGGTGTTACTTACTACCTTCATTCCACAAGCATTTACTAGTAATCTACTATGTACCAGGCAGAAGGGGGTCCTGGTGCTGTGGTGCAGTTGGAGTTGGGCTGCTAACCACAAGGTATGGGGCTCAAACCCATCAGCCACTCCAAGGGAGAAAGATGAGGTTGTCTGTTCATAAGGCAGATTGACTCTTGTCCTGTCAGGTTGCTATGAGTCAGAACTGGCTACCATGGTAGTGAGTTTGGTTTTTGAGGTTTATGTACCAGACCAGGAGCTCTGATGGTACAGTGGGTTAAGTGCCAGATTGCTAACTGAAAACTTGGTGGTTCAAACCCACCAGCCACTCTGAGTAAGAAAGACGAGGCGGTCTGCCCCACAAAGATTGACAGTCTCCGACAGCCTTGGAAGGGGCTCTACTCTGTCCTATAGGGTCCCTTTGAGTTAACTCAGAGGCAGTGGGCTTGGGGTTTGGGGTATACCAAACCCTGCTTCCAAGTTTACTAGTTAGGCAACTTGTAACCCCTTACACTAAGGGAAGGGGAACTCGGGGCTGGGGAGAGGTCAGTTCATTATTGTATCCTCCTCTCCCTGCTGCTTCCCGGTTGGTCTCAATTGCCAGCTCCACCAGAACCCCCATCCCCACCCCCTCACCCTTTCCTGCCTCAGTGGCTGGAAATGCCCCTCCTGCACCTGCCTGGGGGTGGATCAGGCCCACACAGGAGCCGTGCTCTGGTTGTTGCAGGAGGACCCCGCCCAGCAGGTGTTGGCACCATCAGTGCCGTGGGTACCACCCTCTCCCTGGAGGAACCCAAGCCCAGCCAGGAGCCATCGGGAGACCTGCAGAGGAGAGAGCGGAGGTCTGGAGGGCGTGGGCCAGCAGGGTGAGTGACGGGAGCAGAGTCCTGGCTGGGGATGGGGTCAGGGGGTGCTGTGTGGAGGAAGATACCCCTGGAGCTGTTGTACTACTGACTCCACCACCCCCACATTCTGAGAGGCGTCCCAGACCTCTGCTTTTCCCCATCCATTTTTGTCTGAAGTGTTTGAGTCTTCCTTCCCTGAGCAGTCACGGGCTGAGCCCCTCCCCAGGGTGGGTCGCCCTCTGAGTGGGGGTCTCATCTGCCTCTGGGCCATCCTCTTCCGCAAGCAAGCAGTCCAACATTCAAATTTCTATTGTCCCACTGCAGCTCCAGGGCCCTGCAGCTTTGAGAATCTGAGTCCTTGTCCTGGGGACTCAAAGTCTTTGTGAACCCGGAGCTCTGACTTGGGTCATCTCTGCTCCACCGGTGACCCCACGGAGCCACTGGCTCCACATGCCCGCGAGAGCCACATTACTCAGAGCTATAGATCTCCAGCCAGCCGCCCTTGCCTTCTGCAGTGCAGGGCCTCCTTGCTGTTGCTGCTGCGAACCTTCAAATCGATTCCAAACTCGTAGCAACAGTACAGTGACAAAGCAGAGCTGCTCCATGGGGCTGCCCAGGCTGAAGATGTTGTGGGAGCAGAGAGCCAGGTCTTTCGTTTCTGGAGCTGATGGGTGGGCTTGAACTTCCAAACCTCCTGTTAGCAGCCGAGTGCTTAACCATTCACCACCAGCAGTCCTTAGGCTGTCTAAAGCCTCCTTATACTCAACACAGCTCCAGACAAAGCAGCCTCCTTCTGTCTGCTTGCCAGTAAGCACCCTGTTGTGCATCAGTGCTCCGCCCAGTTCTGGGATTTACCTCGCTGCTCTCCACCTTCCCTCCCACCCGAGAGTCCGAGCCATCTCCTGAGCCCACCCTCACTGCCGTCTCTCCTGCCCTCAGCCACGTGACTTCCATGCTGTGTGAAGGGCTTCAAAAAGTTCATGAAGAAATGGAACGGAAAGACAATGGCACTCCCCATGAACATTTTGAAACCCCTCCAAATAGCTCTAATAAAACCTACTGCCATTGAGTTCATTCTGATTTATAGTGATCCTATGGGGAAGGGTCGATCTACCCCTTTAGGTTTCTTAGGCAGGAAATATTTATAGAAGCTGTCTCCTCTTCCTCCCAAGATAGGGAGGGCTGGTGGGTTTGAACCTGTGACCTTGTGGTTCACTGCACGACTCAACCCACTTCAAGAGGCATATAACGCTATAGCCTCCCACATGGCTTATCTGCTCTCTGCCCCTCACAAACCCTGCTCCAATCGTAGTCACAGTTCCTCTTTAAACCTTAATTAAGGGATTTTTAAAACTAATTTAGGCCTTGCTTAAGCTCTCTCACCCCCTCTCACTTGGAGTGGAATTCAAACTCCCTCCCCCATCTAACAGGACCCAACATGAGCCAGCCCGTCTGACCTCACCTTGAACCTCTTCCTGCTTTCCCCGGACATCAGCTTGGTCCCTTTCTGTTCCTGAACACAGTAGCCTCTTCCTGCCGTAGGGCCTTGGCCCCAGCTGTTCCTTCCATCTCCTGGGCATGGCCAATTTCCAGGACGGAGGTGTGGGTTGAGCAGAGTGGGCTGGGGGAGAGGACAGCTGAGCTCCCGGAGGCTCCAGTTCCTTGATGAGGGTTGGGCTGAGATCTTGAGGGAGGTGGGGGGGTGGGGGGGAGGTTGAGCTCCCTGAGGTGCAACTCCCCGAGGGTGACAGGGAGGGCTAGGGGTGGGATGCTGGGAAGGCGGGATTCCAAGCTCTCTGAGATGCAGTGAGGACCTAGGCTGGGAAGCCGAGGAGGTGGGAGTCAGTGGAAAGCTGGGAGCAGAAGGCAGGCTTGGAGTCTCGCTGACTGCCCCGCGGAATGCGCGTCTCCCGGGTCAGCTGAGGGCTGGTCTTGGAGAGGCCATCCCTGATGTGGCTTCTCCTGGGTTATCGTGGTGGTTTGGGCTCCGACTGCTTGAGATCCTGCGCACAAACACCCCAGCCCTGCGCCGTCCTCACAGTTGTTACCTCTGAGCCCGTTGCTGCAGCCCCGGGGCCTGTCCCCTCTCATTGAGGGCCTCTCTCTCGTTCACTTTAACAAGTGCGTTGTCCTTCTCCAGGGACTGGTTCTTCCTGGTAACATGTCTAACGTACAGGAGACCAGTCTCTGCTCGGAGGTGACCAGCGTGTCATCTAGAAGCCGCTGAGAGCCAGGGTCTGCTCTGTCTCCATGATCAGGGGCTCCACTGCCTGGCAGGCTCAGGCACAAAGTGGAAACTCTTTCCTGTCAAGTCGACCCTCTAGTGTTGTACACTAGAACTGATCCGCCGGGGCTTCCTGGCTGTAATTGCCAGGCCTTTCTTCCCATTACCCCTGGGTGTGTTCAAACGGGCAACCTTTCTTTTAGTAGTTGAATGCAAACCGCTTGCACACAGCGAAGGAACGATTGGACAAAGCCATAGAGGCCCGTTAGGTCTTGTTGGAGTGGTTCTCCCTAAAGCTCCCCACTTCGGCCCTTCTCTCTGCGGCCTGCTTGCCAGCGCCCTGCGAACTGCTGTTGGTCCGCTCCAGCTCCGGTCCTGTCCGCCCTTGTGTTTCAGAGCATCGCCAGAGGTCAGTGCGGGATCCTGCCCGCCCCCGCCTGCCCCCTCGAGGAGAAGCAGCAGCAGTAGCATTGCCTCCAGCCTGGGGCTGAAAAAGCTCTTCGCAGCCCTGGGCCAGGGTACTAGGTCCAAGCTGGGCAAGTCCCGAAGCTACAGCGTGGAGCAGCTGCAGCCCTCCGCCGCCTGCACCCCCAAAGTGACCAGAGCGCCATCCTTGCAGTCCCTGCGGTCGGTGAGTCCGAGGGCCCAGCAGGCGGTGTTCCAGCCACCATTGGCCGGAAGGTTGGGAGGCAGAGATGGGGAAGCCACGCAAGCCCCGAGATTTCGCTAGACACCATGCTGGCGGGGCTCCGGCCGGCCAGTGGCCGCTTTCCTTTTCTCTGTGCTGGGCAGCACCCCCACACCGGAGCCTCCTTGGCTCCGCCCTGCTACTCCACCCCCGCCTTTCAAAAAATGCCCTTGTGGAGTGGATGTTTACCCAGCAGACCAGCTTCCCATTCAGCAACCCTGACGCTGAATTTCAGTTCATCGCTTAGATGGCAGCCCCACAAGGTCACCGGCTTCTCCTGCTTCCACCCTGTGTTTCCTGTTTCTGTTCGTTCTTCCCTGACCCTTCTGGACTTGTCCGTGGGGCCAAGGCTGCCCTTCTGTTCTCGGATGGTTGGCTCTCCTAAGATGTTCTTCCCTCCCTGGGGTTATTGTTCCCCTTGCAGACCTGTTCATTGTTGGTCTGACCATCTGGCCCTCGGGGAGCTCGTTTCCAGACCCGCAGGGTGACTGAGGGCTGCAGTCTGTGGGCTACCACCAGCCTCTTATCTCACCGGGAAGCCTGGCCTGGTTGTAGGACTTGCATTTTGTTCCACATTTTTCTCTGATTCTATCCAGCCTTCTAACATGATTTCTTTCAGAGCAGTCGGTAGTGAGGGCACCATCTAGCTCTTCTGGTCTCAGGGTTGGGGACCCAACAGAATGTGAAAATTATCAAGCAGTATCATTAATATTACATGCAAGTAAAATTGTGTTGAAGATTATTAAGAAAATGGTTGCAGTAATACATCACCAGGGAACTGCTGGAATTTCAAGCTGAATTCAGAAGAGGATGGACGTGGAACAAGGGATAGCATAGCATCAGATGGACTTGGCTGAAAGCAGAGAATACCAGAAAGATGTTTACTTGTGTCCTAGTGACTATGTAAAGGCGTCCCAAATTATGGATAACAGTGAAAAGGATGGGGTTCCTAGAAAACTTCATTTTGCTCATGGACCAAAACAAGATTTGTTCAACCAGAAAATGAAAACCGTGCCTGGTTTAAAATCAGGAGAAGTGTACGTCGAGGTTGTATCCTTTCACCCTACTTGCCCATCTGTACACTGAGCAAATCATCAGTGGAGCGGGACGATGTGCAGAAGAGCATGGCAGCGGGACTGGGGAAGGCTCAGTAACAACCTGTGATCTGCAGGTGAGCCGGCCTTGCCTGCACAGTGAGGACTTGACGTGCCTGATGAAGATCAGAGACGGGCCATCAGTACAGAGCAAAACTTAATGCAAAGAAAACCAGAATCCTCACCATAGGATCAGAGACATCATGATAAAAAGATTGACGTTGTCAAGGATTTCATTTTGCTCGGGTCCGCAATTAATGCTCAGAATCAAGTGACATGTCGTATGGGGTAAATGGGGTGCACAAGACCTCCTTAAAGTGTTACAAAGCAAACCTCACTCGAGCCCGGGTATTTTCGATTGTCTCGTGTGTAAACTGAACAGTCAATCAGGAAGGCACAGAAGACTCGATGCATTGATGCCATGGCGCTGGGACCGGCATTGAAAGTACCAGGGATCAGTCTCTTAGAGGACGCATACCCAGAATGCTCCTTGGACATGTCATCAGGAAAGACAAGTCCCTCGGAAGAGGTCATCACGCTTGGAAAAGGAGAGGGTCGGCGAAAAAGAGGAAGGCCCTTGAAGGTATGCATCGACACGGTGCTGCAGCATCAGGCGAACCCTAACAATTGTGAGGATGCTGCCCAACCGGGTCGTGTGCATGCTGTAGTGCATGAGGTCGCTCTGCATCCGAACTGACTGGCTGGCTGTGGGGATTAATATCTGAGTGGCCACGAGACTGACTGTGGGATGTGCTCGGCTTTCCTCACGCTTCGTTCCCTCCCCGTTCCCTGGTCCTTCCCATTCTCGCCTTCTCTCTCTCTGCCCCTCCCCTGCCAGATCCTAGAGAGTCGACAGCCCGGTCACACAGAAACCTGCTCCATGGTCACAGTCACTCTCTTAGGCCAGCCCCAAACCCCTGCACACCTGGCCTCCCAGGGAGCCTTTTCCCCTATGGCTTCCAGAGAAGTCTGTCCAAGACGCAGAGCAGACTCTAGCTGCCCTGTCCTTAGTGACCGCCATGGTCCCTTCCTGCCCTCGGGGTCACATTGAGACCACTTGGCTTTGCCAGAGGGTTCAGGAGCTGTCTGCTTTCGTCTCTCACCATGTTCCCTCACCACTCCAGCTGTACTTGGCCTTCTTGAGATTCTGTGAACAGGTCACACAGTCTCGCCTTGAGCCTTGGCCTAAAATGTTTCTGCTGGCATCTGCTCAGGCACAGATACTGCCAGGCGGTGGATCCCAGTTCCGCTTCCTTGGGCTGAGCTGGGAGCCTCTTCCCTGGGTTCTCAGGCCACCCTGGGCCGTCTCCTTCATTACTGGCCATTCCATGATTTAGTGGATGGATCTGTCTCTCTCCCGCACCGGAGGGTGAATGCTTTGTGGGATGACAAGTAGATCTCTCAAACGCCAACATTTAGTGGGGTGGCTGGCCCAGTGCCCACGCTCCGCGCACAATGAGGGAGGGAGGGAGTGAATCCCATCAAAGTGCACCCTCCCAGTGTTCTAGAGCATTAATAAACCAACAGCGCCTCACGAACCCCCCTCTCCAAAACCCAACCCAAACTCCCTGCCATTGCGTCCTGACTCACAGCGACCCTACTGGACCAGAGAGAGCTGTCCCTTTGGGTTTGGGAGACTGTAACTCTTTATGGGCAGCAAGCCTTATTTCCCTCCCTCCTGATGGCCTAGCAGTTAGCAGCCCAACACAACCCTCTCTGCCCCAGGCCCCTTAGTGCTTAACTAGGCCTCTACAAAGCCCTTGGCTCTGTTGTAGGCTTTCCTCAAGCCAGCCCTCACAGGAATGGCACCCAGGGGGGCTTTAAAGAATGGAAATCGATTCTCTCACCATTTGGGAGGTGAGAAGTCTTGACTTCTGGCCCCAGCTCTAGGAAAGGCTCTCTCTGTCGGCTCTGAGGGATGTCCTTGTTTTGGCTGCTGAAGTCGTTTCTTCTCAGTGGTCTTCACGTGACAATGGTCTGCCCTGCATCAGGACTTACTTCTGGGTCTAATCTGCTCTTTTAATAACTCAGAAGTGACAAACTTCAGACACGCTACACTGATAACCCCTCAACCCAGTGCCATCCGTCTATTCTGGTTCACCAAGGCCCGAGGTAGGGCTTCGGGGCAGTCAGTCTCTACAGGAGCAGCCGGCCCATCTTTCTCCTGGAGAGGAACTGATTGGTTAGAACCACCAACTGTGCTTAGCCACCCATCACTCGGTGGACAGTCACCAGGGCTCCTTTGGACCCTGAAAGGCCCTTGTTAGCCTATTCCTCAGTGGGAGTGTATCCGCGGGCACAGGGACACAGGCAGTGCCCACACCAGCTGCTGTTGGTTCCTCGTCCCCTCCCTCCCTGGTGAGAGCGGCCGGGGCTTTCCCTTTTCTGGCTGCCTCGGGAGAGCAGGCAGGCTGTGCTCTCGAAGTTTCTGTCCCGTGAACGAATGGACAACAGAGACACAGAAGCCAGGGGGTGGGCGTGACTGGGGAGGAAAGCAGGAGCGGTGACCCAGGCTCCAGGAATGTACTTCTGTCTGGCCGCACTGCTGTGTGTCTGAATTGACTGCCATCGGGCTTTCATCTCTGCCTCAACAGTGACGCCACTGCTTGTGCAGTGAGAGGTGAGCTGAGCTGAGTGTGCAAGACCGGAAGTGGACCCGCTAAGGAAGGGCCGGGGTGGCGGGGGTAGGGGGCAGGTTGGTGAGGGGTGGGAACTGAGCCGTGGAAAGAAATGGCAGAGCTGACCTGAAGTGAGAAGACGGGCTGTTCTGAGAGTACTCCTGATGCAATGCCTGCTCCGAGGTGGCAGGAGCTCCACTCGGGTCTTTGTTCTGCCTTGGCCCTCCAGAGCCAACAGGAGACTACCCTGATCTTGCACCCCGACCACCCTGGCCACCACCCAAGAGGTTTTGCGTTCCCTGGGCCTTTGCACCTGTGTCTGGAAGGCTCATCCGCATTCTCCTCCTTGGAAGATTTCTGCTTGTCCTTGAGAGCTGAAGGGAACATGGTTTCTCAGGGAACCCTTCTTGAGCTCAGATACAAAGTCAGGCCCACCCCTTAAAGCTTCTTGATAACAAGCCTTACATGTGTGGGCAGACGTGGATATCTAATGCAATAAGGGTGCAGCTTTTGGGTGCCATCAAGTCGGTTCCAAAGCATCTTGAGCGACCTTACGTAGAACAGAACAGAACAGAACAGATGTTGCCCCGTCCCGGACCCCCACCCCCACCCCCATGGTTAGCCGCCTCTCATTAAGGGTCTCCCTCTTTCTCTGACCCTCTGCCTCACCAGGCAGCATGTCCTTCTTCAGGGACTGGTTTCTCCTGACAACCTGCGCAAAGCAAAGGAGATGACATCTCCCCATCTTTCCCTCTAAGGCAGCGGTTCTCAACCTGTGGGTCATGAGGGGTTGCCCGATTCATAACAGTAGCAAAATGACAGTCATGAAGTAGCAACGAAAATCATGTTATGGTTGGGGGGTCACCACCACATGAGGAGCTGTATGAAAGGGCTGTGGCATTAGGAAGGTTGAGAACCACTGCTCTAAGGTATGTCCTGGCTGTGCTGGCAAGTCTGCCTGTCCCCCTGGCAGTCAGCCCATGGTACTTCAGTCCCCATCTTTAGCCATGGTCCAGTCTCCACAGGCTTATCAGGCAGTATGGGAATCTTCATGTAGGCTCCCTGTGAGCTGGGACTGACCTCTCAGGAATGGGTTTTATTTATTTTACATGTAGCAAACCATGCGTGTAAGGATTTGTGTAGAAGTCTTCTTCTCGCAGCCTGTCTCCACACCTCTATGGCCACCTTCAGAACCACTGT